GAGCCGAAACGCACGAGTGCCCACGAGGGACTCCCCAGGCGGGGGAGTCCCGGCCCTGCGCGCTCCTGCCCAGCGCCGCGCGCCCGGGCCACGCTTGGGGTCGCCGGGTGGGATGGGATCCCCCCCAGCGAGCATCCCGCCTCTGTGCGCTCCGGAGACCCTCGCCCACCCTCCCCCCTCTCCAGCTCTTGCCCTGAGATCTGAACGGGATTCTCCGGAGTTGGTGACCCTCAACAAATACACGCCCCTCACTCTCGCGGTAGCTTTGGGTTGAATTCGGATTATCTACTCCTACCCCCCTCGCTTCTTCCAAAATATACTTTTCTGGTGTAATTTTGTGGTTGGTTTAAGTCAGGGAATTGGGGGGGAGGGGGTGGAAGAGAGGCTTTGCCCGTGGCAGCTCGGCAGTTAACTGCCTCCGTCTGTCCTTTCAGACAGACGGATTAGGGCCACCTTTTGCGAAGGAGGGCAGCAGACTCGGGTCTCGGGAGTGCTAGGGGATTAAGTGACACAGCACACCGGATCTCTATTTAGAAGGAGCCTCAGACTGCGAGGCTTGCGCTCCTGCAGCCGGGCCCCCGTCTGACTCGGTTCCCAGCGTGCTGGAAAGCCAGTTTCCCCGAGCCTGATGTTCTTAATGCGATGGTTTGGAGGCGCTGCCTTAATAGGAATTTTGTTTTGATTTTTAGGTGTTGAATCATAAAGCTGAATTGAAAGTGCTTTTTGGATGCTCTCATTTAGGGGTCAGGAAGGAAATGGCTGGAATTTAATAGAGCAGCTTCAAGTTCCTAGCAGATGAGGGTGTTTCATTGATGGCCTGCAAGAGGGAGGGGCGAGCTAATCATTTAAAATCTTATTTTTGTCCGTGGGTTTAGAAGGCTGAATTATCTTCTGTTTTCAAGCTGAGAACTCCCACCAACACTTTGATAATGAAAACTGAGGTGCTCAGACCTAACTTCCGGTTGCGATATTTGTAACAAGCATTTACAACTACAGCTATTTTTCATAAGTAGATTAGATGATGACATTTTCTTTCCCTGGCGTTTTTAGCTCCTGAAATAGTCCTTCTAAATTTTTTTTTCTCCTTAAGTTTTCTTTTGGTCGTTACTTTTATGTCAACTAACCCTTCTGCAATCCTCAGCGTGGCTGAGGATTTTGCACATATCTGTGTGTAATTCTCATTTTAGCGGAAATCCAGCACTGCTTGGTCAACGCAGGCGATGTGGGGTGTGGCGTATTTGAGTGTTTCGAGAACAACTCCTGTGAGATTCGGGGCTTACATGGGATTTGCATGACTTTTCTGCACAACGCTGGAAAATTTGACGCCCAGGTAAAAGCCATATAGAGCACAGAGACTGTCTAGGGCTAGTGTCGCATGAATGAAATGTTCATCGGAAAGACTTGTGAACAGATCTCCTTAGCTGACCCCTGGGGTGTGTCTCAGCACTTGCAAGAGGCATTCTAGGTGAGCAGCTGGAAGCCAGCGTGCCCACTCCTGCCCTGGACTTCTGCTCTCCGGAGCCGTCATGTGGGCTAGATCCTTCCCTGCTCTTGTCTGTGTCTACACTGGCAAAGGGGATTGGAGACCAAGTCGAACAATTATCTGAGGATTCTTGGCAGAGAAGACACAGATCAGAATGAACATCATGATAAACATCAGGGGGCACACTATGTCTGGCCTGCAAGGCCTATCACCTTAAGAACACTAGGTTGGGGGG